GTGATTCGCACACACATATTTAACCTCCTAAGACCCGAACTCTTCCACAGCATTTTTAATTTCTCTTTGATATTTGGGCTGATTGGGGCCCGATGAATGTAAAAACAAAGAATTACCAGATTTATTTATTTTTTTACCTTATTTTTGTTTTTAAGAAAAATAAGAGCCACATATTAGGATATTCATTTAAAATTTTGATACAAGAGTAGCAGTATAACGTCCTCGTAAGTGGCTATCAGGCCCATGTAGAGCAAAATTGAGCATTTTGCTCTAAATAACCCAAAATTTGATGTCCACATATGTGGACGCAGGGTCCTAGGAGGATAAGCTTTTGTGGGCAAGAGTGATGTCGTGTGTACTTTTAGATATTTGTACGCTCAGAAAGGTTTTCAAAAGGTAAAATTTTCAAATTCAGGAAGCTGAACTTAGTAAACTGTGCTTAAACGATCAGTAATTATTTGGCTTTTGCACATTTGTAAAATAGTTTTACGTGGTGGTCAGATTGCCTCGTATATGTGTGTGGATTGAAGCACCTGCGTGTGGGTCCTCAAAATTTACACACAAATCATTGCACACATTTGTAAACTTTGTTTACATGTGGATTTTGTCTCATGCTTTGCAACACTTTTTTGACGCTGTTTAGAGACCAAATATAAAGAAGCAGACAAAGTCACAACATCAGAACAATTTGAACTTTTGCCGTAGTTAAAGTGTGCTTTAAATCAGCATCACTGATTTGTGTCATTAAATTACCTCTTCATCATCAACAAGCAGAAACGCCTCTGTGTGAGGTCACTGTCTCTTTAAGACATCAACAATACTGGCCGCTTTTCACTCTCTCCAGTTGGCAAATATAACATTAGAAAACAATATCAAAATAATAGTAAAATACATCATCAGTACTAGTATTACTGTAGTTATTTTTAGGGGTGCTGTGATGAAATTTAGGGTCTACTACGCCTTAAGGTGGAATTCTGAGTATCTCTGCAATCACCAAAGGCTTGGGTGAAAAACGGTTGTGTTCAAAGAGTTCTACTTTGCTGACTGAAGAAGTGAATGGGGGAGTGGGGGAGGGTGGGAGAGAGAGGGTCTCATACTAGCCCCAAACACACAACAGTTAGCTGCTATAAAACATTATTTCTCAAGTTGACAGTTGAAAAACAGGGTTGTTGTTTTTTTT